GCAAGGTTTTTCAGAAGTAGTTTGCCATTCCCTCCTTCCTAGGGCTGAAAGACAATGACTGGTTCAAGGTCACCCAGCTGGCTTTGTACCTAAAGTAGGACTAGAACTCACCGTCTCCCAGTTTCTAGCCTGGTGCCTTAACCACTACACCAAACTGGCTCTCGGCCACATTTTACTAACTTTAAAATATTGGCATTTGTGCTGTAATCCCAACCACACTAACCTGTATATGAGTAGTGCAGTCTTCGGGGACACAAAGTCTTGTCTCTGTTGGAGATAGATTATTTTCTTTTGGCTTGTCCAAACTAATTACAACAGAATCATTTTCAACTTGCTTTTCATGACTGTATTTCTTCATTTTAAGCTCTACACCAGGTTTAGAATTTTTGCTATTTTTATCTTTGCAGCTCTTTCTGAAAAGTAGCTTCCCATTAGCTATAATAATAGATGCAAATCTCTTAATATCATCTGGAACGGTACGAGCCACCATAACAAACCGATCCAGATCATCTGGGTTACTCTGAGGTTTCTTAATAGCTAGAATCTCAAGTGACCATTTGCATTTATTTAATGCGTCTCTGGTTTGCACCAGAATCTGAAAGGAATCTGAGAGAATATTCAGTTGTTTTTTAATTCTTGCCTGAAGTTTACTGTCTGATCCCAAAACTGCATTTCTTTCAATAGTTTGAGCAAAGTTCAAAAACTCTCCTAAAGAGACTTTTATGTGATCAATTGCTCGGTGGATTTCCTCAATATTTCCTTCCAAATATTCTAGGTATCGCCACTTACTGCTCACAAAAATCATTAGACTTGCAATTGAACTGGATACACTGTGCTGTAGTTTAGTCAGGGTGTCTATAGCCAACTCAAGCTCCATAGTTGTCTCTTTTATGAGTTCTTCAGAAAATGTTGATGACATTGTAGATGAAAAGGACTCGGTAGAAGAGTTTGACAAAGTTGATATGCTGCTGGTCCTGCTATTTCCACTTGAAACAGACAATCTGTCTTGGTCCAATTTGCATTCTGTGGATGATGGTAAAGGAATAATGTATGGGTTATCTCCTGAATTATAACTATGTGTATTTTCTTTCTGTTGTGTCAGAGCGATAGGTGTTCCTTTTGGAATATCATAATGAGTCAATTTCTGGTTCACCTTTTCAGTCCTGGTAGACAAAACATTGGAAGGAACATCATAGTTACCATCTGGACGCTGCACAAATGTATCATGGATGGATGGTACATCATAAAGAGGAATCTCTGGGCAAGTTAATTTCCTGTGTATAGGTGGAATGTCATATATTTTTGAATCTACTGATTTCCCTTTATTGTTTATTGGGAGGATTTTTTGTGTATCAGAATCAGACCTATTGGGTGGTATATCATAAAGTGCGTGTTTCTGTGGGGAATGATTCTGAGAAGTTTGTATTAATTTTGCTTTTTCAGGTGTCACGGGTACATCGTAGATCCATTCTGATTTCCAAAGATTTGGTAAGGTTTTGTAATGCTTTTGTACAGAACCAGAAACAGGTTTAGTTGAAGCGGTTGGGATGACGTATACCTGGAAATTAGAACAAAGAATGATATATTACTACTACTACTTCATATCTCTTCTCTTCTTCTCTAATATTTATACTCAAAATATACAGTAGGAATGCACAGTAAGAATAAAACAAAACTAATAATAAACCAACATATAAGAAATGTACAAACACAGCAAATAATCCTATGTTGAAGCAATTAGTAGTAGTATTCCCCCTCTTTGCTCATTGTGTAGAGGATCTGCCATGGGCGTGATGATGTGAACTTATAGGACACATCCTGACTACCAGAGTTTCTGTAACCCAGCCCCTGTGATTCCACTTAAAATATGGTCAGGATTGACTGAGGCTATTTTAACTATTTTGGTCCATCCTGCTCACAGAGAACTTTTTTCTTTTAATCCATTCAATCATGTCTGATTCTTGGATGCTGCCTGGACAAGTCCCTGCAGTTTTCTTGGCAATGGTTTTCAGAAGTGGTTTGCCATTGCCTCCTTCCTAGGGGTTAGATAAAGTGACTGCGGTCACCCAGCTGGCTTTGTGCCTAAGGCGGGACTACAACTCACAGTCTCCTGGTTTCTAGCCGTAACCCCTACAACCAAACTGGCTCTCTTCACACAGAACGAATAGTCATCAACTCTTGCTGTTCCTGGCCAACAGCTGAGGATGAAGAAGTGTCAACCAATCACTGCTAAGCTATTGGCAAGTAAATGATGACTCCTCCTGGCTCCTCAGTTTTATACTTAAACATACCCATCTTAACAAGAAGTCACAGTGGATTGTTTCTACATAGCATGACAACAATATTTCATTGCCTTCAAATTGCCTTATTCCGGCATGATGGCTGTTTATTATTCAGGCATATCAGGATCAGGGTGCTTGTTCAAGGTTCCTCTTAAACAACATCACAGACCTCAATGGAATTTAAGATTCTCACTCTTGTGGGAAACAGAAATTCCTTGTTGAAGATTAAATAGGGACACGCAGGGCAATAGTAGAATGTTAAATGCCCAGTCATGAGGTTCTGTGATCAGTTAAGGAGCTCATTTAATCCTGTATCAGACCTGCATCTCTGCCTGGAAGAGCCCAAAGTCCACAGTAAGTCCATATTCCATAATGTGTTTGCTTGTGTTTAAGGGGATAGGAGATTTCAAGTTTTGTTTTGAGAAAACAGCTTCTTTTTTTTTGTCCTTTATCTTATTGGTGTTACACTCCACTTGCTCTTTACAGTATTGGGTCCTGTGATTAACAGGCACTAGGTGGTGTTTGGGTTTCCCAGGCCTTATATGAATCTAAGCTTACACCGCAGCCTTTTGCAGTTCAGACTTTAAACACTTGTACCCAGTCCAAATCCCGCCCCCTCTGAATTTCAAGAGTCATACTCTGTGTATGGATCTGAGTTTAGGCATTCACAACCCCACAGTCTGCCTCTTGAAAAGAACAATCAGCAGAGCCTGACATCGCTACGATTCAGAACAACGTATTTACCTAAGTACGATCAAACTTACATCTTCCACTGCGGATTCTTGCCACGTGCAAGATCTTGCCTTTTCAGCGTTTGATGGGATATCATAAAGTTGCTGCACCTTTTCTGGGCACCATTCCATGAAGGGAAAAGTTCTGGACTCCTTTCTGGAAGGTGGTGGAGTGGCTAGGCCCTAATGAAACAGTTAAACATAAAAAAAATGTAACTTTACCACTAGCCGTTCAGTTATGTGTTTCCTTTAGTCAATAAACAATTATACAGAGTTTCTTTGATTTGGCCCTCATCTGCATTCTTAGATGAAAACTGGACCAAAGGAATGAAAGCAAGGATATCTAAGGCACCCACAACAGCTTTTCTCCAGCCTGGGCTCCTTTAGATGGGTCAGTTTGCACATCTATCAGATCCAGCCATAGTTGAAAGCATCAGGTGGGGAAAGATGGTCCTTTAGTCGGTATTTGTGGGATTGCTCCAAGCAAGAATTTAAGATGGAACAGGATTTAGCAATCTAAGTAGGAAGGCAAAGTTCACCAGGCAGTAACACTGGGATCCCAGTGCTCCAGAAAGGCCCATCAACTATGGCATTACTTTATTTCCATTCCACCTACTATATTACTTTGGGCCATAGTGATTGCCTAAAATTGCTTTTTCAGGTGTCAC